AATGGAATCTAGAAATGTTTCAAAGTTATAATTTTCAATCTGTGTAAGATTAAGGAAACTTAATGCAAGAAGGATGTTTCCAAGGAGTTGATCTCCTTTGGAATGCTCTGTAATGTTTGTTATCAAGTCTTTATGACTTTGTGCATAATCGTTACAAGAGGATCAATGCACATAAGTTTAGAATCTAACAGATTTCAGTAAATGGCATGAATTTGGAATTCTTGCATTTGCAGTAAGGATTTGGGAGTGTGAAAAGAGAATCATTGAAGTTATGTTCAATTATTCTAGTTCACAAAGTAAAGATCATAGACAAACATAGTATGCATACTTGGTGTATGGCATGACTAGTGTTTAGAAAACATAGTGTACATGCTTGGAGCATGGGACAACTATTGTTTTAAATTCAAGAATAAAGTTGATAGCTGAAACAGTATACAATGAATAATGTGTAATCATATGGTGATAAATAAAAGGTGTTTTATTTATATTCATAAGTTCTGAGACCATATTGGATTCAATTATCATTGTGTTTCACTTTGCATGTTTTGACTTCCCGAATAAACTAGGTTATTCTTTCAGAATGACTAAGTTATTCAAACCATCCACAGTCAGTCATATGTTGGAAGTAGATATGAAGTAAGACTGTCATGGGTTGGCTTGTAGAGGTCTAAGGTGTTGGACAAAGGGCTACAACACTCATGAGTGCTCATAAGTTCTGAGTATTGGATTCAACCCGCGCTCATTGGAATCACTTCATGGATTTTAATCACGAGTGATGATGAGACGATAACATCTTATATTCTTCAAACCTAGAGATATGAGTTGTTACTATGAGTTGGTTGTACATTGATTGCACGGAAACGCATTTGGTAACTCGGTGCTATAAAACGTGCCTTTGTGTATGATTCAACAAGTAGTAGAACAAGCCATATGAGTCGAAGTTTATCCATTCCTTTTACCTTCGGGATAAAAGCGATATCTGTGGGCCCCTCGATGATTTGATGATGACAAATGGAAGTGCTCGGCCGGGCCAGGACTAATTTGATTTGTTCAATTAGTCAGTCATCATAAATCGGAAATTGGGAAACAACAAATGGACAGAGAGAATGATTATAATCCATGTCTCAGTCCATATGATATCTAGAATGGAGGAATATATGATCCCTTATCTAATGGACAAGTTCGTTGACAAGATCAGAGTTCGACAGCGGCTTTAAGAGCTATGATTGCCAGTTAGGTTTGAAGTCATACGCAATAATAGTTTTAGACTTATCCAAGTGGGAGACTGTTGGATTAATGTCTAAGTCCATAACTATATTTGGTATGTACTTGACCCGACCCGGCATGGTCCATTTGGGTTGCACTTCACCGACACAATTTATATGGATAATCTTTTGAGAATAGTATGTTTATGATTAATATTAATATATTATAAGTTCTAATACATTATTATGGAATCATATTATTTAATTAGTATTGATCAAGAATTAATTTATAACTAATTAAGTGATCAAAAGGAACTAATTAAATATGGACTCTTATATATATGGAATGGGCCAAGTTCATTTAGGTTGGGCTAAGCTTTCATGGATAGTCCATGGAGTGTTTAACCCATGGATCCTAGGAAATGAAAGGTCATGGGTATTAGGTTTTAACCCTAATCCTCCACACTATATAAAGATGTCCTTGGTTGGTGAAATTGGCACTAGTGTGGTACACTATGAAGGGCTAGCAAATTTCACTAGAGAGAACCAAGTATCTATATTCTCGAAAGTCTTTTAAGGTGTTTTGGTGATTTGTGATTCCACTTGAGGCTTCCACACTATTAGGGCTAAGCTCTTAAAGCATGAAGACATCAAGCTACATCAAAAGGTATGCCATCTAACTAGTACATTGTAGTATAACTGCTTCATAATATGCTAGTTAGGATTAAAGCCTTGGAAAGTTCTTATTTGCATGTATAATTAGAGAAAACATAGATCCAAGGTATTTAGGGTTGCATGTACACTTAGGAGTGTTAGAATGCTCAAAACCCAACAGTTATGTGGTATATGGGGGAACTCACTAAGCTTTGTGCTTACAGTTTCAGTTTTGGTTTCAGGTACCTCTTCATTTAAGGGGAAGGAGTCGGCGGTTTAGCAGCGCATCACTCACATACATATGGTTTCCGCATTGAGTTTCTAGGATTGTACTCTGATTTATAGTACTTGTGTTGAGATGGTTTTCTAGCAAGTTGTTATTGTTTTTTTTTTAATAAAATCACATGACCTTGGTAATGTTTTGGTAAACTATGTTGTGAAGTATTTATTTAAAATAAAATTTTTGCTCTCGAAAATAGGGATGTTACATTCGAGTCGTCACTTTAACAAGTGAGTGCATAGTTACTTTCATCTTACACATAGATATGAAGTATTTTATATAAATTATGTGCTATGTGAGCATATTTTCTGTTTACTTGATATCTTATGTTGGTTGAACATTTTTATACAAGTTTTAAATGATTTAAACTGTATATGTATTTTATATTTACAGGATATGTTGGGTAAAACATGGGTAGATGTAATAGATGATGTGATAAAATGATGATATGCCTCGATGTTTTAAGATGATACAGTCATCTAGAAGCGTATAGATAACAACCACAGACTATTCTAGACAGTCTAGTGGAACGCTAGCGGGCTCGCAACCTGTAGGTGTTTATTTGAACTTAGTGTTCACCAATAGTACTCCATCCCCCACATGGTTGCCTTCTTTGACATAAATTGTTGAGGAACCCCGAAAGCAGTGTTGTCACCCCGATGAAATTCCGTAGACTAGGTCCCTTGTGTTAGATGTTTTAGGGACATAAAGTGAGTTAGTGATATTAGCAGGGAATAGGTTTTCCCTGACTCGGTCGTTAGGACCAAAGGGTAGGTCGGTACCCAAGATATGCCTAACCATATGATTATATTTTGATATTGTATGATAGAGGTAGGGGTGACATAGTCCCTGTTGCCGGTTTAGATAGACCGGAAGATGGTCGGCACCCCAGAACGGCCTGACATGGGCAGGTCATCACCCCAAAATGGCTTGACATGGGTAGGTCAACACCGCATAATGGTTTAACACGGGTAGGTCGAGCACCCGAAAATTGTCCGGCAGTATGTATGATATGTGATTATATGGTATGTGGTATGATGGGGGAATTCACTAAGCTTTGTGCTTACAGTTTCAGTTTTGGTTTCAGGTACCTCTTCATTTAAGGGGAAGGAGCCGGCGGTTTAGCAGCGCATCACTCACATATATATATCGTTTCCGCATTGAGTTTCTGGGATTGTACTCTAATTTATATTACTTGTGTTGAGATGGTTTTCGAGCACGTTGTTATTGTTTTTTTTATATAAAATGACATGACCTTGGTAATGTTTTGGTAAACTATGTTGTGAAGTATTTATTTAAAATAAAATTTTTTCTCTCGAAAATAGTGATGTTACATTCGAGTCATCACTTTAACAAGTGAGTGCATAGTTACTTTCATATTACACATAGATATGAAGTATTTTATATAAATTATTTGCTATTGGGAATATTATCTATTTACTTGATATCTATGCTGGTTGAACATTTTTATACAAGTTTTAAATGATTTAAACTGTATATGTATTTTATATCTACAAGATATGTTGGGTAAAACATGGGTAGATGTAATAGACGATGTGATAAAATGATGATATGCCTCGATGTTTTAAGATGATCCAGTCATCTAGCAGCATATATATGAAAACCACAGACTATTCTAGACAGTCCAGTAGAACACTAGCAGGCTCGAAACCTGTAGGTGTTTATTTGATCTTAGTGTTCACCAATAGTACTCCATCCCCCACATGCTTGCCTTATTTGACATAATTTGTTGAGGAACCCCGAAAGCAGCGTTGTCACCCCGGTGAAAGTCCATAGACTAGGTCCCTTGTGTTAGATGTTTTAGGGACGTAAAGTGAGTTAGTGATAGTAGCAGGGAATAGATTTTCCCTAACTCGGTCGTTAGGAACAAAGGGTAGGTCAGTACCCCAGATATGCCTAACCATATGATTATACTTAGATATTATATGATAGAGGTAGGGGTGAAATAGTCCCTGTTGCCGGTTGAGAGAGACCGGAGGATAGTCGGCACCCCAGAACGGCCTGACATGGGTAGGTCATCACCCCAAAATGGCTTGACATGGGTAGGTCAGCAGCGCAAAATGGTTTGACATGGGTAGGTCGAGCACACTACTAGAAAAACAACCTTTTATGACGCTCATTGCGCGTCGTAAAAGGCTCAGACGACATGCAAATGCGCGTCAAGGAGGGCCCTGTCATAAAGGGAGACGACGCGCATTTACAACGCGCAATTACGACGCGCGTTTACGACACGCAATGCGTATCAAGGAAGACCCTGTCATAAAGGAAGACGACACGCATTCGTGTGTCGTAATCTTACGACGCGCGTGTTAATGACACGCAATGCGTATCAAGAAAGCCACTGTCAAGAAAGGCCATGTCATAAATGAAGATGACATACATTTTTGCGTATCGTAAATTTAAATATTTTAAAAAAATAAATTTATATATTTATTAATTTTTAAATTAAATTTTCATTTAATTTCATATAATATAAATAAAATACCATATACAAAAAATACAATCCATTGCATAATATAAAATAAATTGCACAAATTATAATGTCATACAAAGAATCATTCAAATGTTAAACAAAAATAATACATTGCTAACATGTGTTATACATTCCTATAAAACTAACAAATAATCATACAACTCTGTTTCTTACTGGAAAGGAATGCCAGACATGATTACAAGTCTCCCTTAATCTTGATTATAATCAAATGTATCTTTAATTCTTTATATAAATAAAGCTTAAATAATGTCTTTAAATAATGAACACAATAAATGTTATAAACCTTTTGAGTCCCCATAACTTCAGGATCTGAGTTTTCTATTTCAACTGTAGGACTACCATTAGTTTAAGGATCACTTTTTGGATGCTTTTTCTTCTGCATACATTAACAAACATGTTAACTTTCAAGAAATATATTTTGTTTTTAGGCTCATAGTGGTATGCATATAGCTGAGGTGAGAGAAAGGTATACATACAGCTAGTAAGACATCCAGACTATCCATAACAGGTGGTTTCAAATTTTCATAATCAACTGCATTGTAAGATAACATGAACACAAGAAAGGTAATCAAAGGTTAAAATATTACATATTTACATGTTAAAAGTGTAAAGAAAAGATGATGTGGTTACACAGCTTACCATCAGAATTTAAGAGGTCGCTACTTAATGTGTGTCCTACTTGTGCCATAGAAATCAACTACAATCACCACACACACCGAAAAGGGTCATGTATACAGAAATGGTGGATAGAAGAGAAAGAAGATAAAGCTAAAAAACTACCTGCATTGTAGTAATAAACTCTTTGAAGCCAAGAAAGCCTTGTCGTCTGGAATCTGCAATTTCCCATACCTTAAGAATTAGTATGAACAGGCGTAGAGAAATAGTTAGGACAGATTGGGATTAAAAGAGTAGAAAAGCATAAAGAGAACTATAAGCTAACTTCTGTGCCCTTATGAGCACACTTAGCAATCAAATTAATGATCAAAACTTGAGGACGTAAAACACTATCTAAAAAATAAATAATCATTTATTTAGAGAGTTGAATGCAAAAAATAGTAACATACTCTTATTGATTTGTTCTAAAATCAAGAAATTCCTATGGTTTTGGTCCTAAGAAAGTTGAAATGACTATTTTTCCCTTTTACTTTTAATTAATAAAATATTAAAACAAATATGAAAAAACATAAAAAAAGAAATTAAAAGGACAAAACAGTCATTTCAAATCTTTTAGGGACCAAAACCAATTTTGTAGTTTTGTCAACAAAAAAATAGTAATTTTTATCATTTAAAACTTCAATTCATAAACACTTAACCTCTATTCAGCATCACTTCTAGGTAGAAGGGTAAAATGGTCATTTACTCAATAAATAACCAGTCTATATGTTCATTCATCATTTTCAAGAGACAGATATCATTTATCCATCCAGAAATTTAACATAAAAAAAATTAAAAAAAGAAAAAAAGGGAAGAAAGCTCTTACCTGTTATGCAAAGGACCATACCATTAAGCAACAACCATCCCTCATGGCCATTCCTTGAGAAGAATTGATAGATATAATGTGGTGATATTGCCTTGAAAATAGAAAGGTAATGATATATGATGTTGTAAATTCCAATAACAGGAGTAGTCAATGTCCATGCACCCATGATAGGTGAGAACAAAAAGGTCGCTCTTGCAGTTCCAAATTTTTGAACCAAAAAACAGAACAACAAGAACTAATGTAGAGAGAGCTTCCACTAGAGCTGAAAAGTAAAAAAAAAAAAAACATAAAAAAATATGACAAGATCTTTATAAATGTAGTTGAATAAACAAAAATCAGAGGAATGATGCACAGATGATGGTGAAGCAGAGACAGATAAGAAAGTAGATTCAAAGAAGAAAGGATGGTTTTCATCCATGTTCCAAAGGTTAGTTTATAACTCGTATTTTTTTCATTTTTAGCATTTTTAATGGTCATTTAGTCTCGTTTAGATGGTCTATTCAGTCTAGAAAGGCACACTCCTTATGTATACAACAGTTTATCCATTTAGATGTCATTACTCATTACCCACTCAGCCACTTTAACCATAGAGTTTTTAATTGAAAAAGAGAGGAATCTCCTAATTTTTTTAAAATCTTGTTTATTCAGTATTGCTGGGAAGGAAAATTTGGAGAAGGCAGATCTTGAACCAGCTTTGAAGGATCTAAAAGACAGACTTATGACCAAGAATGTGGTATGCTTTTTCATTCTCAATATCAAGTTTGTTGACTTTCTTGGATAAAAAATATGAAGAATTTGATGATTTACAAATCTACCCTTTTGGGGCACAGGCTGAAGAGATTACTGAGAAATTTGCGAGTCTGTAGCAATCAGCCTGGTGGGGAAAAAGCTTGCTTCTTTTACATCAACAGTGCAAGTGAGTTAGTAAACTCTGTCATTTTTTGTAATTTTGGGTATTTCATGGTTAGTTAATTTATAAAAAATATGAAATTGATATCGAGTGCAGGCTGCTATGAAAGATGCTCTTGTTCGTATCTTGACTCCAAGGCGTTCTATTGACATTCTGAGAAATGTTCATGTTTCCAAGGAGCAAAGGAAACCATATGTTGTGGTGTTTGTTGGAGTCAACAGAGTTGGAAAGTCAATAAATCTTGCCAAGGTATAAAAAATATTAAAAATTGAATCTTGGCATACAAAAAAACAAAAAAATAATATGTGAAATGTTGTGTACATAGGTGGCTTACTGGCTTCATCAGCATGACATCAATGTAATGATGGCTGCATGTGACACTTTCCGTTCAGGGACAATCGAACAGTTGTGCACTCATGCCCGTAGGCTCCAGGTATGCAGTTGAAATTGACCTTTTTGTCCTCTGATAATCTTCTTCTTTGATTTCCACCTCTGAATCCATATATGTATTTTAAATTGGTTTCATATCCCATCATATATATAATCAAATCAATACTTACAACTGATAACAGGGGCCCCTGTTTGTACTTGTCATGGAATGAAAATGTTAGAGGCTTCGGGTCCTCTCCAAGCCCTCTGATGAACCCACTACATCAATCAATTCATTAAAAAAAACAAGCAATACTTTCTATGAAGTATATGAAACTGCATCATTACCGAGTGAAGACGCACAACAACATGAGAATCTAAAGGGATGCCTCACCATTCATAATACTCATTCCAATTACTTAACTTCTTTGTTAATATAGACAAAGGCCCTGCATTTTGAGTTTGTGTAGAGTAGCTTTCAGAAGTAATTATAAAGGATCTGAAACCAAACCAATGAAATTTTACACCAATACCTTTACAGGGGCATAATTTACTTGAGAGATTCCAGCGCTTTTCATACCTTCCAATTAAATGAATAAACAATGAGATCCCGTGTGTAATTTAATCACATGTGTATTGAAACATTGGGAGAAAAGAAGGATAAAAAAGGAACCTCAAATGATCCAAGGAAGTAATCAAAGTCGCACAGATACATGAGAGGTAAAAATTAAGGTGTGAGAATATGATTACCTAGAAACATAGACGATGGCAACATGTTGGGTCTGGGTGATTGGGATGGTTCCAGTCTTCATGTAGCCATTTTGTGTAATATCTAATATTGTTGAGTTCTTTTCCATGAACCGTTCTCACCAATTACCGCAACTACTGGATTCCGATACACTGTTTCAAATATATTTTTCTTCAAACCAATGAAGTCGGAGGTTCAACATTGAAATTGATTTGAACAACAAGAACTAGGGTTTTGGGTCGATTTGGTTTTGAAAGAAATGGGATAATAAAAACAAGAAGCGTCGACATCTGCAATCCATTTTGAGGCGTTGGAAGCAGGAGGAGGTATGGTTTCATCAATTTTGACTGTGGTGGGTGTTGGAATAGATCGTGACAATGGTGTTGGTGTTGTCAATGGAGAAGGCGAGATGAGAAGGAGGAGGATAGAGATGCGATAAAACCTGGTGGAGAAGGAGAGACGAGAAGGTGGAGGTGTCGATTAGGGCTTGTTCAATTGGTAGTTTCGATTGACGGTTGATGAATTGTAGTTTTTAATCGGCACAGTCTGAGGCTAGAAGATGCATCGAGGATTGAACGCAGTGGATGTGAGTGAAGGGTAGATGAAATGGAGAAGAAGGCGGGGGTTTAAAAAATTTGGGGATTTCATTTTCCCTCTAAGACGAAGGAGACGCGCGTTTCTTAAAAAATATATATATATATATATAAAGCGACATTCACAAAGGATGCACGCTTTAGATAAAGTGCCCTCCATGTTTTTAAATTTTTTACATGAGACATTAATTTAAGGTCACGCAGTAATGCGTGACCTAAATCCTTAAATTTTTTGAATAGATGAATCTTTTTTAATGTCACTCTCTTTTGCGTAACATAGATCAATGAGTGTCGTAATTTGCGCGTCGTAAAAGGCTGTTTTTCTTGTAGTGGCACCTCAAAATTGTCCGGCAGTATGTACGATATGTGATTATATGGTATGTGGTATGATGGGGGAACTCACTAAGCTTTGTCCTTATAGTTTCAGTTTTGGTTTCAGGTACCTCTTTATTTAAGGGGAAGGAGTCGGCGGTTTAGCAGCGCATCACTCACATACATATGGTTTCCGCATTGAGTTTCTCGGATTGTACTGTGATTTATATTACTTGTGTTGAGATGGTTTTCGAGCACGTTGTTATTGTTTTTTTTTTTATAAAATGACATGACCTTGGTAATGTTTTGGTAAACTATGTTGTGAAGTATTGATTTAAAATGAAATTTTTCTCTCGAAAATAGGGATGTTAAATTCGAGTCATCACTTTAACAAGTGAGTGCATAGTTACTTTCATCTTACACATACATATGAAGTATTTTAAATAAATTATTTGCTATGTGGGCATATTATCTATTTACTTGATATCTATGCTGGTTGAACATTTTTATACAAGTTTTAAATGATTTAAATTGTATATATATTTTATATCTACAAGATATGTTAGGTAAAACATGGGTAGATGTAATAGACGACGTGATAAAATGATGATATGCCTTGATGTTTTAAGATGATCCAGTCATCTAGCAACGTATATATGACAACCACAGACTATTCTAGACAGTCCAGTGGAACTCTAGCAGGCTCGAAACCTGTAGGTGTTTTATTTGATCTTAGTGTTCACCAATAGTACTCCATCCCCCACATGGTTGCCTTATTTGACATAAATTGTTGAGGAACCTCAAACGCAGCGTTGTCACCCCGATGAAAGTCCGTAGACTAGGTCCCTTGTGTTAGATGTTTAAGGGACGTAAAGTGAGTTAGTGATAGTAGCACGGAATAGCTTTTCCCTGACTCAGTCGTTAGGACCAAAGGGTAGGTCAGTACCCTAGATATGCCTAACCATATGATTATACTTAGATATTATATGATAGAGGTAGGGGTGAAAAAGTCCCAGTTGCCGGTTGAGAGAGACCGGAGGATAGTCAGCTCCCTAGAACGGCCTGACATGGGTAGGTCATCACCCCAAAATGGCTTGACATGGTAGGTCAGCAACGCAAAATGGTTTGACATGGGTAGGTTGGGCAACCCAAAATTGCCCGGCAGTATGTATGATATGTGATTATATGGTATGTGGTATATGGGGGAACTCACTAAGCTTTGTGCTTACAGTTTCAGTTTTGGTTTCAGGTACCTCTTCATTTAAGGGGAAGGAGCCGGCGGATTAGCAGCACATTACTCACATACATATGGTTTCCGCATTGCGTTTCTGGGATTGTACTCCGATTTATATTACTTATGTTGAGATGGTTTTGAAGCACGTTGTTATTGTTTTTTTATAAAATGACATGACCTTGGTAATGTTTTGTTAAACTATGTTGTGAAGTATTTATTTAAAATGAAATTTTTTCTCACGAAAATAGGGATGTTACATTCGAGTCGTCACTTTAACAAGTGAGTGCATAGTTACTTTCATCTTACACATAGATATGAAGTATTTTATATAAATTATGTGCTATGTGGGCATATTATCTATTTACTTGATATCTATGCTGGTTGAACATTTTTATACAAGTTTTAAATGATTTAAACTGTATATATATATTTTATATCTACAAGATATGTTGGGTAAAACATGGGTAGATGTAATAGACGATGTGATAAAATTATGATATGCCTCGATGTTTTAAGATGATCCAGTCATCTAGCAGCGTATATATGACAACCACAGACTATTCTAGACAGTCCAGTGGAACGCTAGTAGGCTCGAAACCTGTAGGTGTTTTATTTGATCTTAGTGTTCACCAACAGTACTCCATCCCCCACATGGTTGTCTTATTTGACATAAATTGTTGAGGAACCCCGAAAGCAGCGTTGTCACCCCGATGAAAGTCTGTAGACTAGGTCCCTTGTGTTAGATGTTTTAGGGACGTAAAGTGAGTTAGTGATAGTAGCAGGGAATAGCTTTTCCCTGACTCGGTCGTTAGGACCAAAGGGTAGGTCAGTACCCCAGATATGCCTAACCATATGATTATACTTAGATATTATATGATAGAGGAAGGGGTGAAAAAGTCCCAGTTGCCAGTTGAGAGAGACCGGAGGATAGTCAGCTCCCTAGAACGGCCTAACATGGGTAGGTCATCACCCCAAAATGGCTTGACATGGTAGGTCAGCAACACTAAATGGTTTGACATGGGTATATTGGGCAACCCAAAATTGCCCGGCAGTATGTATGATATGTGATTATATGGTATGTGGTATGATGGGGCAACTCACTAAGCTTTGTGCTTACAGTTTCAATTTTGGTTTCAGGTACCTCTTCATTTAAGAGGAAGGTGCCGGCGGTTTAGCAGCGCATCACTCACATACATATGGTTTCCGCATTGCGTTTCTGGGATTGTACTCTGATTTATATTACTTGTGTTGAGATGGTCTTCAAGCATGTTGTTATTGTTTTTTTTTTATAAAATGACATGACCTTGGTAATGATTTGGTAAACTATGTTGTGAAGTGTTTATTTAAAATGAAATTTTTTCTCACGAAAATAGGGATGTTACATTCGAGTCGTCACTTTAACAAGTGAGTGCATAGTTACTTTCATCTTACACATAGATATGAAGTATTTTATATAAATTATGTGCTATGCGGGCATATTATCTATTTACTTGATATCTACGTTGGTTGAACATTTTTATACAAGTTTTAAATGATTTAAACTGTATATGTATTTTATATTTACAAGATATGTTAGGTAAAACATGGGTGGATGTAATAGATGATGTGATAAAATGATGATATGCCTCAATGTTTAAAGATAATCCACTCATCTAGCAGCATATATATGACAACCACAGACTATTCTAGACAGTCCACTGGAACGCTAGCAGGCTCGCAACCTGTAGGTGTTTAACTGAACTTAGTGTTCACCAATAGTACTCCATCCCCCACATGGTTGCCTTATTTGACATAAATTGTTGAGGAACCCCGAAAGCAGTGTTGTCAGCCCGATGAAATTCCGTAGACTAGGTCCCTTGTGTTAGATGTTTTAGGGACGTAAAGTGAGTTAGTGATAGTAGCAGGGAATAGCTTTTCCCTGACTCGGTCGTTAGGATCAAAGGGTAGGTCAGTACCCAAGATATGCCTAACCATATGATTATATTTTGATATTGTATAATAGAGGTAGGGGTGAAATAGTCCCTGTTGTCGGTTGAGATAGACCGAAAGATAGTCGATACCCCAGAACGGCCTGACATGGGTAGGTCATCACCCCAAAATGGCTTGACATGGGTAGGTCAACAACGCAAAATGGTTTGACATGGGTAGGTCGGGCACCTCAAAATTCCCCGGCAGTATGTATGATATGTAATTATATGGTATGTGGTATCATGGGGGAACTCACTAAGCTTTGTCCTTATAGTTTCAGTTTTGGTTTCAGGTACCTCTTTATTTAATGGGAAGGAGCCGGCGGTTTAGCAGCGCATCACTCACATACATATGGTTTCCGCATTGAGTTTCTCGGATTGTACTCTGATTTATATTACTTGTGTTGACATGGTTTTCGAGCACGTTGTTATTGTTTTTTTTATAAAATGACATGACCTTTGTAATGTTTTGGTAAACTATGTTGTGAAGTATTTATTTAAAATGAAATTTTTCTCTCGAAAATAGGGATGTTACATTCGAGTCATTACTTTAACAAGTGAGTGCATAGTTACTTTCATCTTACACATAGATATGAAGTATTTATATAAATTATTTGTTATGTGGTCATATTATCTATTTACTTGATATCTGTGCTGGTTGAACATTTTTATACAAGTTTTAAATTATTTAAATTGTATATGTATTTTATATCTACAAGATATGTTGGGTAAAACATGGGTAGATGTAATAGACGATATGATAAAATGATGATATGCCTCGATGTTTTAAGATGATCCAGTCATCTAGCAGCGTACATATGACAACCACAGACTATTCTAGACAGTCCAGTGGAATGGTAGCAGGCTCAAAACATGTAGGTATTTTATTTTATCTTAGTGTTCACCAATAGTACTCCATCCCCCACATGGTTGCCTTGTTTGACATAAATTATTGAGGAACCCCGAAAGCAGCGTTGTCACCCCGATAAAAGTCCATAGACTAGGTCCCTTGTGTTAGATGTTTTAGGGACGTAAAGTGAGTTAGTGATAGCAGCAGGGAAAAGCTTTTCCCTGACTCGGTCGTTAGGACCAAAGGGTAGGTCAGTACCCCAGATATGCCTAACCATATGATTATACTTAGATATTGTATGATAGTGGTAGGGGTGAAATAGTCCCAGTTGCCGGTTGACAGAGACCGGAGGATAGTCGGCTCCGTAGAACGGCCTGACATGGGTAGGGCATCACCCCAAAATGGCTTGACATGGGTAGGTCAGCACCGCAAAATGGTTTGACATGGGTAGGTTGGGCAACCCAAAATTGCCCGGCAGTATGT